GGTCTTTTGTTTTTGACAACTGTTCACTCGTCATCGAGGCGCTTGTTCAAGACTACAGGCTGATATCTACTAGTACTACCAGTGGCTTCATTAGTAACGTTCCCACAATACTTAAGTTTTCTGTCCGTGCGTACAAACCCTGAAAAAGGACAGCCTCGCTGACGAGAACAATGGACGTTTCTCACCCCTCTCTAGGATTACCCCTGCCCTCAATCTCGTCCATCCCGGTAGTCATGAAAATATTTAACCCCCGACAGAATATGCTTTCGCTATCAAAATTAGGTCTACTTTTCTAAATTAATATATAAGTTTGCAAGTTCTTATTTACAAAACATCATTGGCTATGTCCGAACCTAAATTTTATGTTAAAAATTGCGGTATTGTCAGATTTTAGCATAAACAGAGAAAATTGCAGCAGCGCATGAATATAGATGAGATGCACTACTTTCCAACCCCGCTTAGGATCATTGTTATCACATCGCCCACCAGGCAAAATCGGTGTGGTGGCTGATACTCTGTAATGCGATCTGACACACACCTTGAAAACGGGTAGTGTTGTCTGATAAACCGGTTTATACTGGACCCGTAGGTGCCGAGTCTGGTAGTTGGGAAGGCCTGTTATATTACTTTTCATGGCATGACATTCAGTTGGTTCGCACATGAAGGGTTTATTTAATGTGTGTGTGTGTGTGTGTGTGTGTGTGTGTGTGTGCTAAAACGCCTCTGAATGCGCCCAATATCAAGTGCATTAACCTCTGGCTTAAATGAATCTGGGTTTTAGTTGTTTTACCAACTTGATAAACTAATTACGTTGAATAAAAAGACACGTATATGGTTTTATTATTTATAACTATTTAGTTTTAATTTTTCCTTATTTTTTTAATACGTTGATATATGACATGCATTTATGCTTTTTGTATTTCTTGTGTTTTTAAAATGTGTGTCGGACCACACCATGCGTATTACGCAGGTACTTACCGAAGTTGTTTAGTCTTAAAATATTGATGATGAATTCGTTCTCCGTACGGGACTCTATGGCCACCAAGTTAGCACCTAGCCTTTGACAAAATGCTTGAGATTCTGTCCAATTTTGGTTAGTTGCCGAATTGACAAAGTAGCAGGAATTATTGGAGCTGATAAAGTTTGGGGGACATTCTGAAGGAGAGAAAATATATATATTGCATGCATGATATGATATTATTTTCTCAAAGAAGGAGGAGCTTATTTAGGCATTCATGTACTTGCCTTAAAGGAATGGGTAAGAAATACCTTAAGAAACAACTTTATCTGAGGATCTTCTGAGCCACGGATCAATTGTGGCGGACCCTACATGAAAGGAAAGCCGGTTAATCCGCTCATGTTCTCCGCGCCTCCACACTCACCGTCCTTGCAGGGGTCTAACAATGAAACATCGCAGCCGTGATCTTTTTAATGGCGCGTGTAGAGGCCAGTAGACCATCGGCGGATTAGTCTGCTCTTCTTCCATATTTTGATCCGTGGATCAGAGGACCCTCAGATCTTCTGTTCTGAATGGCTTCAATATAAGGCTGGGTTCCCACAGATTTAGACTAGGTTCCCATACTTAGATCGATCTATCTGGATCGACCTAACTCCCTGGGGGTTCACGCTAAATTGCTATCAGCTCAAGAGGCTTAAATGTCTGCCACGCCTGCCGAATCAGCTAGGGGGAAAGATAATTACCCCTAACAGCTTTACTAGGCGTGATAGGCGTTTAAGCCGGATACTTTGATTGCAATTTAGTGAGACTAACCAGGGAGATAGATCGATCCAAATTTCAGTGGGAATGGTCCCTTAGATCGATCCATCTGGATCGACCTAACTCCCTGCGGGTTCACGCTAAATTGCTGTCAGCTTCTGGGAGCCGAGTGCGCACAAAAGTTAATTGGACCCTTACAGCTTTTAGTAGGCGGGACAGACATTTAAGCCGATTAAGCTGACAGCAATCTAGTGAGACTCCCCAGGGGGATAGATCGATCAAAATATCTGTGGGAATGGTCTCTAAGTGTCTTTGTGAGAGAACCAAATTCAATGACTTTTGATGATTTCGGAACACATATTTCTACATATGTAGCTAGATTTGTATTAAAGTCAATGTAATCGAAAACTTTCAAAATTTAAGTTTACAACTGCGTATTGAATAAAAAACATAAGAAACTTATAAGTAGACCTGCTTGGAATATACGCATAAGTTTGGTAGGGACAAGAACACAACTCACCCAGTAAAAGTTGTGTAGACGATCGATTTGTGCATGTTTGACTTGTTACAAAGACAAATCCGACAGCGATGGTAAGTGTCACTAGGCAGCAAACGACAACCGCAGTCCGCAGACGACACCTTTCCTGTATAAGTGACCGCATTATAGGATCTGGCGTTTTCTTTCTGGACGGAAACCGCTCGTTCTCTGTTAGAATCTGGTTTGACCCACTTGGGTCCACATAGTCGTAGGTAGGACGACCCGGACTTGTTCCAGGATCCAGTGGCGTATAGAAAGGCTCTGTATCTAAATAATGGACCGTATTTGTGTAGTTTCTGTTTCCTGTTTCTCTGCCCGCTTCTGTACCGTTTAAACTTGTTTGGGGTGGCTTTTCTGAAAAAACAACCGTGTTTGTCTTTAAATGATTACTAATCTAAACAACAATTACTATAGACTATGATGTCCGCTGCTACTAGAAGCACTGTAATGAAATTATATATAAAAAAATTTGACAAGAGAGAGAGGGAGAGAGAGACGGGGAGGGGGAGAGAGAGAGAGAGAGAGAGAGAGAGAGAGAGACGGGGAGACATATGGGGGTTTCCATTTTGTCCGTACGTGATTACTGATATATAACACGGATATAACGGTAGTAAAGGCGCTATATGTGCCTTACCACACTCGTGGCTACTACAAAATTCCCTATATATTTCTAAAAATACCTCAGAATTTTTGCCGTGTAAGAACGTTGCTAAAACGCCATCATGAATGTTTCATCACCACACGTGACCCCCATTTCAACATAAACTCAAAAAATTATGACTACACATGTATGTAAGAAACCGAATGGTCACTGAATAAAGTGATTAGTGAAAGAGTGGTTGGGTGATTTAGGGCCTTAAACCCAAAATAATAGATGATTTCTTTACACTAAATAGAGCTTCTCTAGTCTTGCTTCGTTACGAATCTAGTATTCAACGCACGTCATCCAACACATCTCCGCACTAATATCTCACCTTTCATATTAGTTGGTCATGTACACTGAGGCATTTTTTTTTATTCATGCGTCACTGTTGTTTTAACTGACTTGCACAAGGGCTGTATTGTTCCTAGTGTTGCTGACATTATTATTTACGGATAACTCATTTGTTATATTTGCAACTAAATGTTTACCTGGATTTTCTCTTTTTGTTAAGACTTCCGAGTTGACGTACGAGTGCGACGGCGGGTCTTCCACATGTGCCATGTTTTTCTGTATAGTTGTACTGTAATAAAGAATGTATAATATTTAAGTCAATGGTTCCAAATTCTCATTAGGATGGGTTGCATATACAAGTTACAGCGCAAACGTTGACACACACACACACGCACGCACGCAGAGAGAGAGAGAGAGAGGGAGGGAGAATAAGTGTGTGTGTGTGTGTGTGAGAGAGAGAGAGAGAGAGAGAGAGAGAGAGAGAAGTGGCCCAGTGGGTCATAAAAAAACAGTAATTTCACACTTACCTTACGTTTGTCTTGTCCTCTCCGATGCTTGCCGCTTGCCTGCCAGCCAACTAGCGTTCCATATGTACTTTTCCAACTGGTTTCATTTAATTTATGAGTTTGTTTTTTTTCCCCGATGCCACAGTTGCTATTTTCAGCACACACATGATGACTGACTCACTCTAACATCCGGATCTTTATTTATACACTCCTCCACATGTATTTTTTGACGGTATAACCAGCCTTATGAATGAGTGACACAGCACTTTCTTTAATTATTCTTATTATATCTATTTAAATAAAATATACATCAAAAACTTTCTTAAATGTCAGAACTCTAAAAAGGGAAATATAAACCCATTAAAGTTTAGATTAAGGTGAAAATAAAACACTCCCGTACGGTCCAGTACGGTAACCGTAACTTCTAACAGGATGGCAGATATTTTGGCAAATTTTCAATATGGCAGAGAATCAAATGACTGTCTATTTATCCAAAGACATATCTGTGGATATCTTTTGAAAATCAATCTGTCGCCTTGGTAGAGGGAACGGTAACATTGAGAATAACGTCGTCCCATACGAGGTTTGGTTTAACTTTAACTAAGCACACGAACGAAACGGGGTGCCTCGATATGAAACCAGACAACTTTTGTGTTTTTACTCTACAAATACTAAAAAAAATCAATTAAGCTAATAAATAGGCTAACGCTAAGAACGTATTATATCGCCTGTTTTATATTAATTATTATTAAAGATCAGGATAATAATAAACAAGTCGCATATCGATGTACTCCATGCTATGACCTTTATTTAAAAATAGCAATTTTTACGAGATTACAAATTGTATCGCATTGTTTGGTTCCATTTCCTTGCTTGCAATAATTAGAATAGGCGCTCCAAAATCGTAAAACGAAGTTAAAAATGTTATATTGGCCAAGTTCGCCCCCTGTTAAGAATGTCCTCGCAGCATTGTCTGCAGTTAACCTTCCTACGATTTTCAATGTATTTTGCAATATAATTTTTATTCCTCCCGATGAAGAATTTTATTAATAATGAGTGGGGGAGGGTTCGAAAATCCCCTTGGGGCCACATATAACACTATAAATGCGAAGGGAATCCCCCTTACAATGACGGCAAAATAAATGTTAATCAAAGGAAAGTCCGATGGATTTACTTTTAAAAACATACAATCAACAGAATATTTCTAATTTAATTTCTCAAAACAACACCAGAAAGCAAATTAAATCAAAACAACCAGACGGTAAAAACCGGCAGGCTTTGTCAATTTCGCCATTTGTTATTTCAAACAGAGTACTTTTCGCGCATGCGCAGTAGTTTGAGACCTGTGCTCTTTAACAATAGAAACCAATCCTATGCCCTTGGGTAAATATCTTCCCTGATTTTCTCTTAAACTTCAGCTACTACCGCAGTATACCCTCTACCAGGGTGGCAGATATTATAGGCACATTTTCCACATTGACAGAGAACCAGATGACCGTCTATTTATCTAAAGACATATGTGTGAATATCTTGTGAAAATCAATCTGTGGCCCTGGTAGAGGATAACCACGAGGCATGGCTTTATTTTCCAAGGTTAATGATAATGAATAAAATAAAGGCGTTATATTAGACAAATACGCTGCCTACCATTTAGCATTTGTTATACAAGATTTGAATTATTAAAAGGTACAGATACATTACAGAAGATGACGTGCGTGTTTCACCTTATGGATTTGAAGTCATTTTAGCGCTGTCACGATTATCCAGTTATGTTCAACTACAGACTTGACATTTAATATGGAATATTTTTTTCCAAATCATTTTTCATCAGTTTTTACCTATTTTGCTGACTGATAAATGAAAATAAGGAATAAAATCGTGTTCTAATAACTTTTAATTATCTCTTTGATGTCATTGTGACATCAGTTCATTAATGGAATTCGCCAGAGAAGCAAACAAAAATACATTGCCTTTTCTACTTCATACGACAACCATTAAAAGAGATATTTTGGATCTCCATATTTTCCAAATTATTGTCTGTAAAAGAGTTACACGCTCCACAAAGGACCCTCATGTCAGTGTTTAGTCACAGTAACAGTCGCTGTTACGTCTGACCTCTTCTGGCTGCTACCAGCGCTCTGAAGTGGCAAGGCATTCTTGGGATAGGTTTTTAAAGTTCAATCTGGAAGAAGAATATGGCGGTTTTGATGACCAAGGTAGCTGTTCATTCCCTTGGTTCTCTAAGTAATCTGTTATTAAAAGTGCTCTGTGTGAACCGACAATCTCACCGTACAACCTAAAATTGTTCCTAGGGTGCCCCCTATCAAATGATAGTCAAGTGGTTCCCAGATTATTCCTTTATTTAATCTGGTTCAGGTTTTCGTCGATGACTCCCATTGGTGTTTTGGCACCAATGTGGTATCCACTTCAAATACTGACGCTGTTAATGACCTAAGTCACTTTAGACGCGGCACACACTTCGTCGTTGGCCTCTCCTGGATGTCTGTAAACTCTGTTTTGATAAGTTGAGCGGTACAGGTGAAATCTGACCTCAATAAAGAAAGCCACGAGGTTTCATTGTTCATCCCAGAAACGGTCAGGGTCCCCAATTCATTAGAGAAACATACAACGATGTTTTGCTGTTTACAGTAGGTTCCTCGGAGGTCGTCTGGTATTCTAACCTGCTAAAACCAGTTTGGTGTTGAAAAAGGGCCTTGAAAAATGCGTTTTGGTGGCAATTTACCCCTCATTCTGAACGGACTGGGTGGTATTTGTTTAGTTGCAACACCATATCCTGAAAGACAGTGGGTCCTGTACTCTGGTGGTAAGATTTTAATACATTGGGTGTGGCCTCTATGTAGGTACATCAGTCTGGACATTACACTATAAAACTGTACGGACCGTTTCGTTTTGCACAATTAACTGTCTGGCAATGTCTTTCTTTTTCGCGCCATTTTGCCACAGATTAACAAATTTGTAAAGCACTGCATAACTCATTTTACACACTGTAAAACCGACCACTTGCATGTAAAATTTCAAATTCTTCTATGCAGTAGTTGCCGACATATGGATACTTTTTTGACAGAAGCATGCTTTGCCAAAGCCAAGCTTTGACCTGCCCAAAGGAGCACTACCCAATTAAATTACTGCATATTACACAATGCAGCAGCGTAACAAACCTGGTATTCAGTTAATTGGAAGCGACACACCTGACTACACACTTCTCCATTCACATGTCTTATATGAGATCGCAGTTTTTTTAAAAAAGAACGCATTTCTACCTAGGCGTACCCTCGAAATTGAAATATTCCATATTAAATGTCAAGTCTGTATATTATGCACACCTTCATGCAAGAGAAATGATGAGTCAGGCACGTATAGACATATGGCCGTGGAAGGGGGGGGGGCAAAAGAACCGTCCTTTTGGCTGGGAAAAAGTCGACCCTGTACCATAATTTGCTATAAATGTAGACTCTTAAAATGAACACCTTGTTTCAATATAAGATTCTTTTTTTTTCAGAAAAAAAAAATTAAATTGCCGGCTACAGCCCTGTGATCGCATGTCATAAGAACTTAATGTTATCCCTAAACATCGTCCTTGTACTTAAACTTTATTTCTTCTGTTTGTTAAAGGAGTTCCTTGTAACTTTCTGAGAAACGGTTTCAGAGGTAGGATGGAACACGTATGGCACTTATTTTTTCATTTCTGTCATTTAGGACGTTCTGTTACGAAGACACCCCTCCGCATACTTCATATACGTTTTAACGCTTCCCCTCGATTCCTTCACGACATCCACAAGCTCAGTATGAAGATGTACAGTTCTACCATACTTGAACATGTAACTGTATCCTAGCAACGAGAGGGCCGATTGGTCGTATCTATGGTTACTCAAGCTGGACCCCGCGGGGGAGATACAATCTCGATGTAGCGCGCAGTCTACCCATGGAATCAGTACGTTCTCGTAGATGTCCCCTTGTCTTAGCCAGCCGTTCAAACCTCCAGCAATCGACTGCTTTCCTACGTAGGGTTCTTTGGAAATGTTGAAAAATGAAAACATTCCAGGATGTGTCCATTTTGTAACTTCACCATCCCCCCCACACGCCGACATATATATAGCCGTCTTTTTGAAAAAGAGACGTCATAGTTTGCCTAATGCTTCTTCCACTGACGTGGCTGCCAGCGTCCACCCAGAGCACTGCCCCCAATTCATCCACCATCTGCTTGATAATGACGGGTTTAAAGGCGTACGTGTGCAGGTTGCGCAGATGAGGGGGGTAGCTTTCAAAGGAGAACTTCCTGTAGGTCACGCTGGGCCAGCTTTTCACGGTCTTCACTTCTTCGACAGTGAGGACCAAATCCCACACCACGACCTTGAGCGTTGGTTCCCAGAAACAGAGGGCTCCCACGTGGTTGACGAGAGCCGGGGAAAAGAACCGGTGATCAGCGCCTGTGACGATTGTGAAATTGTTTATTTTCAGTGCAGCTCTTGCGTACTTCGGCTTGGTGCCTGACTTGAAATCTGAAAAGAAGAGAAAAGAAAAAAAAAACATTGTGATTTAGACAATGATCAAAGCACCCCTTTACTTTGAGTAGTTTTGTTCTATAAACCATCACCAACTATGGTCAGATCGAACAAGGCAGGAGAAACTCAGGGGCGGATCCAGAGATATTTTCTGAGAGTCTTCCAAATTATATTTGTTGATCCATCCTCTATTTTTGACCGTCTTCCGACAGAAAAAATTAGATACCCTTCAATGTAAACTTGAAAATCTGACTGTTTTCTGGAAGACCCAGAAGACGGCCTAAATCCGCCCCTGGTTAAACTGCTTTTTTTATCTTGAGGAAAATCAATTTTATTGAGTAAATTCTATACATAGGACCTTAAGCTCACAATTAGCTATCCGCCGCCAGAAGTCTTATTGGGTTGTGACAACAAAAGATTAAAACTTTCTACCAATTTTGTAACAACCTTCAGAGACCCCTGGCGGAGGATAACTATTAGGCGAGCAACTGCTTGGTATAGGTGCATTTTCATGCGGATTTTTAAATCTGAATCTCGATTGTAACACACGCGCAATATCGGAGCCACGTGCACGCACGCACGTACACACACACACACACAC